GTTTCTGCCACGTTTCCGTTTACGGATTATTGCAATTTCGTCCTGTGTAATAATTGCCCCCGCAAGGTTTTTGGCCCCAGAAAGTAAACAGTAGTCAAAGAAAGGAAATTACTGATTGTAACTAGGGATTTGACTTTTGATTATTTTCAGAGTGATACTTACTACAATCGACGTGTTCAAGAGGTACGAAAACGCTGTATGATCATTACGAGGGTGAGTGTCACATGTTTCCTCAGTTGGAACAAAGAAACGTTAAGTCATGTGGAAACGAAAAAGCCACTTTATGAATTCAGTTTCAAGTACCCCAGGAACTTATTCTCGTGCGTTGGATAGTTTCCTTGAGATATCATCCCATCTATTTTTATCCTATTTGTCAACACTAACTGCGCGAAATGAATTCACAGAACTCCTTTTCATCACATGTAAAAGATACATTGAGTCACAAGGAAATGATAGAATGTTGAGAGAAATAAGGAAACCAATTTGGGTATATTTACAGCAACAGTGCCCCTCGTTTTTGGCAAGGGATTCTATTGCATGCTTCAGTCAGATTTTCGAGGAACGAACCTTTGGTGATCTTTCTTCAGAGGAAATGAATATATTTTCATCTCAGAGAATCTTTGAATCATTTTGTAAGACCTGCCATGACAATGTAGCTCTCAAAAGCTCTATTTTGGTTAACTATGTGGCAAGATCAGCATTACAAAAATGTAAATTGGATCACAATTCTTGGCCACATTTTATCTCTGCTATTCAAACTGAACCAGGAAAGTTGAATTGTCCTAATTGTGAAACCCCTACAGATGACCCAGTTTTAACCTATAGTTCACAGGCAAAATTTGTCTTTATTGAATTCTCTCCGGAACTTATGGATTTGATACATTTGTGTGAAAATATGCATGTAGGCTCAAGTGAATATAAGTTAAAGGAGATGGTACGTTGTTATAATGGACATTTTACATGCGCAGTTCTTACTCAAGGGAAATGGACCTACATTGATGATCTTTGTGTAGGTGTTAAAGAATTCTGTACTTTAGCTGCTCTAAAAAGGCAGTTTTCAAAAGGGTGGTTCTTTGCAATTTATGAAGATAGCAACATGGTTTCCAAACCCGAATCATGTGGAATAGTTAATAAACAAATGAAATCCAATATAGATTTCATTGAGATACCCATTAAGAGAAGATGCTTTAAATCTAACATCAATTTTCAAACACCAGTTACGACTCTTATGAGGTGCTTACTGAAGAAAGTCATGCCATGCGCATGTATCCTAATTCCAAAACTGAAATAAAGCAGTCTAAGCAACAAAATATCTTTAAAACAAAGGAGGCAAAGAAACGAAAAATTAAACGTTCAAAACTAGAAAAAAGAAAAAGGCAAAGTTAGACTCAACAGTGGAAAAAGCAATTGCAACAGTACAATAAAAACGCCCGCAAATGTCTCAAGTACAACTGAGCAATCTGCCTCAACCAATAGTTTCCCTTCCTACAAAGTTGCAACAGAAAATGGCGAGTTGTCGAACAGTCAAATTACGCATTTTGCCTTGCCAAACATGCCTTTGAATAATGATAATAACCTGGATAATTTCTCTGTTGTAGTTGACAAAACTCTTCTAATAATTATGAACAAGTGAAAAAAGTGAAGTTAACCTGTAGAGATAATTGCAAGACTGCAAGACGGAATAAAATAGGTGGAAGCCTAACTGAACAATCTGTCTTGGCCAATGATGCTCCTTTACACGAAAGCACAATAGTAAATGACAAGCTATCTACCAATCCTATCAAGCAATCTGTTTCATCAGAGTTACCTTTGAATAATAAAAAAAATCAGATAACTTCTCAGTATTCCATGACAAAAGCAACAATTCATCTTATTTCAATAACACAATGCAAGGTGGTAAAGAACTTCATTCCCAACCATTTGCAGTTAAAATATGAGGAAATTTCACAACAGTATAAAATACATTGTTTATCATTGTAGCATTTGCCAAGAAGCTTGGCCTTTGAAGGCAAAACCCAAAAATTATCCTAACTATACTTGTTCACGTTGCACAAGAGACAAAAGTACTCCAAAAAAGTTTTCAACTGAAAATTCTATGATCCCATCGCTAGTGCCCAAAGAATTGCAAGGTTTAACACAGTTTGAAGAAATGTTGATTGCACGAGCTTTTCCTGTTATGCATGTGTATACCAAACTAAGAGGTGGTCAAAAGGCATACAAAGGTCATGTTATAACTTTGCCCCAAGATGTGCAACAGCTTGCAGATGTTTTGCCACGATGTCCTAAGGACCTTCCTGTCATTGTGTTTACTGTAAATGGTAAAAACAATTGTTCTGAGGATTTTATTGTCAGGCTTAAAAAAGTATCTGATGCTCTATACTGGCTAACAGGTGTAGAAAAACATGGAGAGCCTAATAATTTCTTATACAAAGATGTCAGAATCAGTAAAGAAAACCTGACACAACTTCCAGAAAATGGAGTTCTTTCAAATGTACTAAAGGTAGAATGTCAAGTCGAGAACAATGGTGCAACAAGTTCACATATTAAAGTCGATAGTGGTCCAGTTGAATATGATGACAATGAAAGAGTTTACAATTCAGATAGTAAAATGGGTAGTTTTATTCCTTCAAATGTCAGTACTAAAAAAGAAAAACAAATTGTTGAAGATGCCTTCATTAAGCAACCACAATCTCATGATTGGACTATTGGCAGTGAGCCTTGAAATGAATTCAATGTGCAGTTCTTAGCATCATTGGGATTTCCAACTCTTTTTACCCGATGGAAAAGGTGACCCGACTAATAGTGCGGTTGTTTCTGATATATCAAATAATGAAACTTAATCACTTGCTGAAAAGCTCAAGCATTTGATAAAATTTGCAGAACAGAAAGATGGACAATGGGTTTACAGATTTGCATCTCACCCTAGATTTGCTTATTGGGCTTACAATATCCTTTATAGAAAAAGAATCTTGGGGCAAAGTAATTTCTTCCTGAAACAAAATCCATCAGAAGCAAATCTATCAATTCATGACTCAAAGCAAATGATTTTGTCTAACTCCTATGAATCACTTATATCTAAACTCATGCACTATGCTAAGAATATTTCTGGCACACATGCATACTGGAATCGTGCAAAAGATGATTTGAAAGCTATAATAACACAAGTTGGCACTCCCACCATTTTTTGGACTTTGTCTTGTGCTGAATTTCATTGGCCAGAATTTCATGAACTCTTTAACAATAGCAGTGAACTGACAGATTCTCAGAGGCGAGATAATGTGATAAATAACCCTCGTTTGCTTGACTGGTTTTTCACTGAAAGAACTGAACAATTTGTAAAACATTGGCTCAAAAATACACTAGATGTAACATGGCATTGGTTTAGGTATGAATTTTCTGTACAGAGAGGATCTATTCACTGCCATGGAATAGCAAAACTTGAAAGTGACCCTGGCTTATGTGAGCTGTCTCAAACAGCACTTAAAGGTCATATTGCAAATCAGTCTGTAAATGATGGTAACCTTTCTCCAGAACTATTGTTAGAGAAGATAGAAGAAATTAATAAGGGCAAAGAAGCTGAAACCATTATTTGTGACTATGTAGATTATCTAATGTCAACACAAAATCCAGCTAACCCAGATGATGGAAGTTGGGTGAAGCCAGCAAATCACCCATGTAAACTTCGATTTGAAGATATTCAAAATGATTGGGACAATGATTATGAAAATCTCGTAAATACAGTGCAAAGACATACCAATTGCTCTACAGCACATTGTTTGCGAAAGAAAGGAGAAAATGATGAAGTAAGTTGTAGATTCAATTTTCCAAAAGAACTTTGTGAAAATACCCATTTGGAGTATGAGACTTTTTAATCTAAAGATGGTAGGGTCCACTATAAGGTTAAGGTAGTGACAAAAAGAATGATAGTCGCTTAAACAACAACCGGCAATTGCAGTTACAGGGATGGAGAGGAAAATGTGATATTCAGGTCATTATAGATTATCACTCTTGCTTAGAATACATTGCAAAGTATGCCTCAAAGGGTGAAAAAATGTCACAAGTCGCAAAAGATGCCTTAACGTCTGTTTTGATTAACTCTCAAAATGAAGATAATAGTCATAAAGCTATAAGAAAAATAATCATGAGAGCTGTAGGACAAAGGGATATGAGCATTCAAGAAGAAATGCATCAGTTACTTTCACTAAAGCTTGTTAGTTTAACATTCCAAGTTATTTCGTCATCACTTGATGGTTCCCGTAAAGTATCTTTATCAGAAAATGATACATTGGACACTGAAAAATCATTGTTAGATTTGTATGCGAAAAGAAATATGTTTGAAGCTGATCATCCTGGAATTTCTAAATGTAATTTTGTACAATTCGCTTCAAATTACTTCAAGGCCAAATTAGGTACAGCGAAACGCACTAATCCAGTTGTTTTGAAAGCATTTCCTAATTATTCGTCTAACACCAAGGGTCCAAATTACGATTTGCTTTGTCGATATCTATTACTAAAGTATAAGCCATGGTGCAATGTTCTTGATGACGCTTGGTGCAATGAGAAAGCTTCTGATTCTGTTTACATTAACCAATGGCACATATACTTACAAACGCCTGATGCCCAATTTTTTGTTCCAAACTGGTCACAGCAAATCAATTCTATTTCAGAATATGTGCAACAACTGGTAAATAACGATGACTACATTGAATCTGACACTGGTGAAAGAGAGGAATGGATGATAATTGCAGATATGAAATTGCAAAGTGATAATGGCAACAAACTTAGTCTGAATTGTCCTTCTGATTTCTATGCACAGGATAGGTTAAAATACACTGCTCAGGAAATTGGATATATGCCCCACTGGATTACTATGCAAAAAAAGGCGACAACTTGAGAAAGGAAACAACTCCAATGCGGGTTAATATCAAAAAATTCAATGATGCCCAAAGGATTGCTTATAAGATCACTTTATTTCTGAAAACAAGGAACCACTATTAATGATGATTACTGGACTAGGAGGTTCTAGTAAAAGCTTTGTAATTCAAGCCTTAAGTCAACTTCTGCACACAAAGTGCAGAGTTTGTGCATTCTTTGGAATCGCAGCCTTTTATATCAAAGGAAAAACTTTACACTCGCTTTTGCAGCTTCCCATCAAAGGAAAGAAAAATGGGCCACTAAAATCATCAGCATTGGCAAAACTTCAGCATGATCTTGAGGATGTTAACTATCTCATCATTGATGAATTTTCAGTTATTGGTCAAAATATGTTTGGCTGGATAAATAGACGCTGTAAGCAGGCAACTGGTATTTCTACAGTTCCCTTTGGTGGTATGTCTATTATATTAGTTGGGGATATTGCACAGTTACCCCCAATCACAGACCAGGTTTTGTACCACACCAAACCCAAAAGTAAGTTGGCAGTCGAAGGATACTGCACGTATAAAAAATTTGAGACAGTTGTGAAGTTTGAAATTAACGAAAGAGCTAGGGGCGCTGATAACGAACAACAGCGATTTAGAGGTCTTCAAATAAGAGCCAGGGATAGTAATTCAACATTTGAAGATTGGAATTTGCTTTTATCAAGGCAACCACACAATGTCACTGATAAAACAAACTTTCAGAATACGGCTGTCAGATTATCCTTTAGTAATGAAAAGTTGCTAAAGACAACTATGAAAGGTTAGAGCAACTCCAAGAAACTGTTGTGCAAATAAATGCCCATCACAGCAACCCAAGAGCAAAATCCTTAAGTTCTGAAGAAATGGGTGGACTAGAACCAATAATTTATCTATCAAAAAAAGCTAGAGTAAAGCTTACCCGTAACCTTTGGACAGAGGCAGGACTTTGTAATGGTACTATGGGAACTATCAAAGATATAATATTTTCAGAAAGTCACAAGGCTACTATGCTACCCATTGCCATAATTGTACAGTTTGATGATGACTATCTGGGACCAAGTTTTTGTAAAGACACACCTAATTGTGTGCCTATATTCCCTGTCACAAGTTCCTCTAACACTCTTGGCAATAACTTCGAAAGAGTACAGTTCCCATTAAAACTCGCATGGTCAATGACAATCCACAAGTCACAAGGCTTAACTCTCAAAAAGTGCTGGATTGACCTAGGATCAACTGAAAAGGTTGCAGGTTTAACATATGTTGCATTATCAAGAGTTCGTAAACTCTCCGACACTGTAATTGAACCACTTACTTTTGAAAGACTACATGCATTAAAAAAAACATCTAATCATAAATATAGACTTCTGGAAGAATCCAGGTTAGAACAATTGGCACAACATACATTGCAAAATAAAAGGGAAAATGTGACATATTTTTATGCATCTCTTACAGTGAAATGGATAACTACGAAAGTCCAAAAAAGAAAATGAAGTTTGGGATGTCATCTCCTCCCTCCTCTCCAACCTCTTCATCCTCTGCAAGTGAGTACACTAAAGAAATCTTAACATGATTCCAGGGTCAGTGCTTACTGGGCTTACTGTGGCCCTGGCCAATTGTTTTTAACCACAACATATTTCTTTCTTTTTTTTTCAAGATATTTATTGAACTCCAAAAACTTTCTTTGGCTTTCACTGTTTCATCTTGGGCCAGGCAAAAAAACAGGCCGTAACTTCACATACATGAATTTGCTAATATGCAACATATGATGCAATGATTGCATAATACTTATAAGAGGAGATTCAAAATTTACCAGCTGCCTTCAATCAATCCAAACAAAGAATTATTTTGAGCAAATAATATACCTGATATTAAGCAAAGTTTACATAGAAAATGTTTCTAGCATTTTCATAAATAAGTTAACAAAATATAAAATAAACATTTTTTCAGGCTTTACTAGATATGTACAAAGAGTAGACCGAAATCGAAAAAGCCAGCAAGGATTTACATATTACTTCGACATCATTCTACAGACGGCAGTACAGAAACCATCATAAAGCCAGCCGAGAAGCAAAATATTACCAACGTAAATACAGATGCAACTGCTATCAAGCCTCAAATCTGCTGCCCAGAAA